AGAGACTCAAAACTAACTAACTGACTGACTGTCTAACTGTCTAATGAAGCCTCTATAATACTGAGATGGATGTTGGGCAGACCCCGCAACATCCTAATAAAACAAAACTAAGAGAACAAAATAACCGAGTCCTCTGGAATGCGAAGAGGCTCACCACTGACTTTGGAGTGCTCAGCTGGATCAACGGCGTGCGGGATGCTGATCATGGGTACCTGTGTCTGCATCATAATAAGATGCAGGCCAACTGACATCAGTACATTGAATGTTCGAGTATGCGAGCTGGAAAACTAAGCAACATAGGCTATAAGGAATTCTGGAAGAAACTGAAAAGCTTACCTGGCTCAACTCAACTCAACCTGACTGACTTCTTTCAATATAAGGCAATTTAAAACAAGTGCGATATAAAGAAAGACTGTTTAAAACCTGTTATAAACTCTGTGTGTATACAAAGATACAATAAGCCTGAGATGTATATAGAAATACAAATGAACTGATGTATATAAAAATACAATAACTTATGTGTATGAAAATACAATAACTGTTGTGGGAGTTTCTCTAACCGACAACCATCACATAGAGCTATAGTGATGATACAACGATCGACCTCACGCTGCCAGAGCATCATATACCCGGCCAAAGGTATAAGACCTGAACTGCCTAATGAATCCACTAGTCTATCCGGAAAAGGATTCATCTAAAAAGTATGATCCATTTCTATCCATGGTAGCTAACATGGTTCTATAGGGGCTGTGGGTTCCTTGAACGCTCCCCCAACTCGGTGCTCGATACTACTCCCAAAATGTACTGGCTCTTATGTTTTTAAAACATATTTCTTCCTGCTGATTTGAGATAATTACTCAAAACTTAGCTCAAAGGCTATCCTGGAAATCTCAGTTTCCTCTCTTGCTTCATTTAGAAAGCGATAACTCTTTTTCTGGAAAGCTAGCCCGAAGGCTCTTTGGAAATCTCAATTTCCAATCTTATTTAAATGTGAAAACATTTCTTTAAAACTTCTTTGGGAATACTTAGTTCCCTAATAACTTTTGAGAAATGAACTCAACTTATACTCTTGACTTAACTTGGAACTCGATACTCTTTACTTGACCTGAAACTTGAGCCTAAAAATGAAGTTAAAACGTTCAATAAAGACTCTTGAACAATTTTAGAGACTTGCTTAGACTTACTTCTTAACTTCTAAGATTGACTCTAACTTTACTTGACTTTGATCCAAACTTTCCTCGAATTGGATTATGAATTCGAGATATATGATCACATGTTTATAGATGAGTTCTTGACGTTTAGACGTACCTTGGAGTGTTGGAAACAACTATAAAACATAGGTACATTGCCAAGGAACATGTATGAAAAAAGTGGGGAATGAATGGGAAAACTTGGCGTCCTTGGCGCTCTGAGAGGCGCGGAGCGCCAGCCTTCAGACCTCAGAGGGGCCTGCTAGGCGCGCCGCCCCAAGGGCTGGACTTCAGAGTCCCTTTTGGGGCGCGCTGGCTGGCGCGACGCCCCAGTCTTTTTCCCCGAAAACTTGACTTTTCTCCTTCATTTCTCCAACTCTAAACCTTCTAAACTTCAAAGTTTCCAGCCCCAAATACTTGGAATCATAAAACCCCTCAATATACACTAGATTTAACTCGAAATCACAATCGGAAACATGTACCAAGACAACAAGGAACTTCAACAACACAACCAACAACTACATAACCAACAATTTCAACAAACACAACCAATCCTTTCTCAGAATTAAAACGAGTTTGGCGTGTGGGGGAAAGAACCAACCCAACACTATGAACTCACATACCTTACTAGGGATCACCCCTGACGAAATCCACGACGATCTCTCCGAAGTTTGCTTCTTCTTCTCCTTTCTCCTCTTCTCTCATTTTCTATCAAGAACCCTAACTCTCACTTTAAAAAGGAAAAACTGATTTAAAATCAGTCTAACACCTTAATATATATCCAAAAGAAAAGGCTAGGGAAAAGACCAAAATACCCTTACAAAATCGGATTAACTGCCCTGCCAACAGCCCAACTTCAAAAGGGCATAACTCACTCATACGAACTCGAAATTGAGCAAACTCGATGGTGTTGGAAAGACCATTCCACGAAATTTGCAAACATAACTGGAACTACACCTAACTCATCTTGATCTAGGAGTT